AATATCCCCTTACAGTTTTTAAAAGAAGTTTCTAATGCTTCAAAAAAAAAATCTAAACAGTATTTACCATTTTTAAGCTATATGGCCAGTAAGTCAGTCCTTTTCTTTAAAAATGGAGTTTTTTACATACGTGTGAGAAATATGTCATGCATTCAGAAGAGTGTACAAAATGTATGTATTCAGTAAAAAGATAAAACAAAGATCTTTGTTTCCATCACCCATATTAAAAAGTAGACCATCTCACAAACATGTCCATAACCACTATCTGGACCTTTGTCTTGATCATCTCTTGTCTTTATATTTTACCCTTGATATATCTATTCCTGTCTAAGCAACATATTGTTTAGTTACGAAACATGGAGTAGCAAACTCCAGCCTGTGTGAGGAAAGGGCAGTTTGCACTACTGGGTGAAATCTCCCAGGACAGGAGAAGCTGAACAGTCTGCCTTCAGCCTCACTGAGAGTTTCTGAGCGACTCTTTGGAGAAGTCATTGGGTGAGGTCATGACTGACCCCTGGAAACTCAGGGCCACCCACAAATGGGGGATTCAGCTGGCCATTGTGTGGCCCAGGGCAGATTTCCAGCAGAGGTGTGGAAAGAGGATGACTGTTCACTGTGGCCCACCTCCTGCTCTCATGAGCAGGTCAGAGCAGAGCACGTGGGTGAAATGAGGGTCCTTGGCTGAACCTCTGTCCTGGAGGGGAGAACAGGAATTTCATCAGCATGCAGTTGTGACCAACCAAGTCCAGACAAGCAGCTTAGCCTGGGCCAGACTCCCTGGGCATCGTTCTGTCATCAGATTAACCAGAAAATGTACAATACTATATGATTGTGTGTATGTATAGTTGATTCTTGTTACCTCTGGTAGTTCTGTTCTGCAAAGTTTCCATGAACAGTGATCTAGCAAATACTGAATAATTGCTCCTAGGGGAAATTCAGGGTTAGGTTCCTGTAAGCCTCTGGTAACATTTTCATCAATTGATCGGTCTTTTTTTTTTTTTTTTTTTAGAAGTGATTCTGTTGAAAGACAGTTTATTTAATATATATTGTTGGTTTATGATCCTAGAACTCACAGCCAACCGCAACATAACTCATGCCTGAACAAAGCTTATCTAATATATATTTTCTCTGTAAGACACGTCATAGCCTTATGGTGTGTAGGAGCACTGGGCAGCACTGCAACCGTGCCATTAGGGGCCGTTTGAAACAGTGACACCACCTATAAACAGTCCCAGAAAGGTGAAAAACATGGCACTGACTAGACCATGAGAAAGACACTTGTTTACACTATGAGGGCAGAAACAAGAAGGGAGAGAGTTGACTTTTTTTACCCTCAGCTGGTAATGTGCCCAAATGACTGAGAGCACTACAAGTATTAATACGGATGTATGTGTATTTATACATACTTGTCAACAAAATGGAAAATTAGCCTAGAATGTTAGAAGTCAAGGTAGTAACTTGAGTGGTTACTAGAAGGGGCATGAGGGAGACTTTTGGGGTTCTTGATCTAGGTGTTACACAGGATGTGTTCACTTTGTGAAAACCGAGCTGTGTGTTTATGATTTGTGTACTTGTCTGAATGGTGTTAAACTTCAGGGAAGAGTGTAAAACACACACTACTGTGGCCTCAGGATCTGGATGATGACCACTCAGGATATGTGGCTTTGAGTGTCACTACTCTGGTGGGGGGACTAGTGATTCTGAGGGTTCCCACTTCACCGTCTAGCTCCCTGGTGATTTTTGTTGCTTCTTTGTATTGGATCTTCTGATTCAGTCTTCTGATTCCTAGATTCCATCTGCCCATTGTTTTCCTCTCTCACTGTTTTGGTAACCTATACTTTCATAGTTTCAGGAGAAAGGATGCATGGGAAGTAACTTTTTTTAAGGACTTAATGCACCTTAAAATGTTGTTATTCTACCCTCATCCTTGAGTGATAACTTTCCTCGGTGTGGAACTTTAATTTGGACAGTCTTGCCTTTAGAACTTTGGTGACAGTAATGCATCACCTTTCAGTGTCCAGTGTTCCTCTTGCAAACATCACATCTTTGATCTTTGTGTGACCTCTACACCCCTCTTCCCCCAACCCCTCTTCTGGAAGCTAGCAGAATTAGAGTCTCCTTTTTATGTCTGCTCTTCTGAAATGTGATGGGAAGGTCTCCTTTTACCCACTGTGTTGGGTATTCTGTGGGCATTTTCAGTCTGGCAACTCATAACCTCTTTTCTGAGAAGTTTTCTTCAGTTATTCTGTTGGTTATTTCCTCCCCTCCATTTTCTCACTTTTAGAATATTGATACTTTTAGACAAGTATTCCAGTTTTCTTCTCTTTAATGCTATTCTCCTCCCCCCCTCCCCCCCCCGCTTCTCCTGGAAATAATTCAGTTACTTAACTCCAACTCAGCATATATGGCTTTTCAGTTTTCAGTACAGAATGCACTTTACTCTGCTGTCAGCAATGCCATGAGTTCCCTAGGTTTGAGACCCCTGTTTTACCCGCTTTAACGAATAAACTGTCACTTTCCACTTCGAGTATACTGTTGGAGCGGCAACTTAGAAATTTAACTGCCTCTCAGGGCATCTGGGTGGCTCAGTTGGTTAAGCGTCTGACTCTTGATTTCAGCTCAGGTCGTGATCCTCAGGGATGTGGGATCAAGCCCTGCGTCAGGCTCTGTGCTCGGTGAGGAGTCTGCTTGGGATTCTCTCCCTCTGCCCCCCGACTCCCCCGCTTGTGCTCTCTCTCGCAAATAAATCTTTTTTTAAAAAAGAAATTTAACTGCTTCTCAACTCTTAACTATAGAGAGAGAACTGATGGCTACCAGAATAGAGGTGGGTAGGGGCATGGGTGAAATAGGTGATGGGGATTAAGGACCGCACTTGTGATGAGCAGCAAGTGATATATGGAAGTGTTGAATCACTATATTGCACATCTGAAATTAATATTACACTGTATGTTAACTAACTGGAATTTATTTTTTAAGATTTTATTTATTCATTTGACAGAGCGAGAGAGCACAAGCAGGGGGAGCAGGAGAAGGAAAGGGAGAAGCAGGCTCCCCGCCGAGCAGGGAGCCCCATGCGGGGCTCGATCCCAGGACTCCGGGATCATGACCCAAGCCGAAGGCAGACGCTTAACCATCTGAGCCACCCAGGCGCCCCTATTTATTTATTTTTAAAGATTTTTATTTATTTGTCAGAGAGCACAAGCAGGGGGAGCGCAGGCAGAGGGAGAGGGAGAAGCGGGCTACCCCCGAGCAGGGAGTCCAACATGGGGCTCAATCCCAGGACCCCAGGATCATGACCCGAGCCGAAGGCAGACACTTAAACCGACGGAGCCACCCACGTGCCCCAACTAACTGGAATTTAAATAAAAACTTAAAAGAAATATAACTGCTTCTAAAGAGCTTTTACATCTTCCATCTTTCTACAGTTCTTCATCCTTTCATTCTGGAGGTACCTGGTGCTGCCAGTCCTGGATATATTGTTGCATCTGCGCTGTAAATTGGGTTGTTTCTTAGCTTTCTCCTTTACCTGAATTAGGATTCAGCTGTCTTCAGTTTCCTAACTCTGTTACCACTCATCCATCTGCTTTCCAGCCTCCAAATTTTGTTGCTGTTGTTTACTCTTTATCATTATGAAATTGTTGGTTTTTTTTTTTTTTTTTTTTTTAAAGATTTTATTTATTTGACAGAGAGAGAGAGAGAACAAGCAGGCAGAGAGGCAGGCAGAGGGAGAGGGAGAAGCAAGCTCCCTAGAGCAGGGGGAGCCCGACGCGGGACTCGATCCCAGGACCCTGGGATCATGACCTGAGCTGAAGGCAGTCGCTTAACCAACTGAGCCACCCAGGCGCCCCGAAATTGTTGGTTTTTAAATTCCAGTGCTAAATTTTCAGAAAAGAACAGAATTAGATCTTACCTTGTTATCTATTCTAGAGTTTATTTTTACAAAATTATGGCTCAGTCTCAAATGCCATTGTCCAGTACCTTGTACAGTACTGTGGCCACTAGCCATGTGAGCACTTGAAATGTGGCTGGTGTGGAACCGAACTCTAAATTATATTTAATCTAAAGTCACATTTAAAAAATCACATGTGGCTAGTGGCTACCAGACCGGACAGCACAGGTCCGGTGCTGGGGAAGTAGGAATTGGGAGTAACTGATGTCTATATCTAATCTATATATCTGCCATAAGGAAGAGGGCTTTTTTTTTTTTCCTATTTCCTTCACCATGAGGGATTTTTTTCCCCCTATTTCCTTCTCTTTGACTTTCTTATTTGTATCAGTATGGACCCAGGGATTCCTGTGTTCAGTGGGTTATAATCTAGTACTTTTATTATTTATTTTGGTGCTCAGATTATCCCAGATTTGGCCAGTGGAAACCCCTTCAAGGGATGCCTGGGTGGCTCAATCGGTTGAGGCTCTGCCGTTGGCTCAGGTCATGATCCCAGGGTCGTGGGATCAAGTCCCGCGTCTGGCTCCCTGCTCAGTGTGGAGCCTGCTTCTCCCTCTGCCTGCCGCTCCCCCTGCTTGTGCTCTCTCTCTCTGTCTCTGACAAGTAAATAAATAAAATCTTAAAAAAAATAAAGAAACCCCTTCAAGGTTTCTTCTATATCCTTTTGACATGTATCCATCATTATCTCTGCATCATTCATTGTAGCAGGCTCATGTACTTGCCTTACCCCAACCCCTGAAATCATCCATCTTCCTGGGGAGCTCTGGTTTTTCTTAGTGGAGGATGCTGTTTAGAAACCAAGATTGTGGTGCTGTGTGTGCTCATTGCTGCTGGAGCATCACTGCTTCTAGACTTTCTCAGTTGACAGAGTATATTAATGGCTTGTAGCCGTTGCGTTGGCGAGTACAGTTATAGACATTGCCAATTTTACAACAAAGGAAAAAACAGCGTTACTAGAGTTTTATGAGCAGAATGCAACTGGCTGGTGATGAGAGTGTTGGGGCCAGAGCCCCTCTTCTCCTGGAGGGATGCTTTCTCTCTCCCTCTAGGGCCTCCCATTGGCAGAATGTAAACCAGAAGCCAACTGCCACGGGAGTCTGAATAATCAAGTTTTCAGACCCTAGACATGGTTGCTTAATCTCAGTACCATTGACATTTTGGGCCAGGTGGCTGTCCTGTGCTTTGGAGGATGTTTAGTAACATACTTGGCCTCTACCCACTTGATACCAGTATCTCCCTCCCTCCAACCCAGATGCTTCCATACATTGCCAGATATCCCCTGGGGGACAAAATGGCCCCGATGAAGAACCACCTCCGAGACCCAGCATTGCAGAGCTGCATACAGAAGGGTAAGCTTGAAGCTGAGAAACAGTAGTAATAACCAGCACCCTACTTTATAATTCAGATGCCCTTGATAGCCTTGAAATGTGAAGGAGGGGAAGAGAAATTTATGTTTATGTATCTGTGACAGCCCTGCGATATAGAAAGATTATTATATGCTTTTCCCCCCTTTAATTGATGACGAAAGCAATCTCTTTTCAGTCAGACAGGATTCAAATCCTTGCCAATAAAGTTTTTGTTTACCTGCTCGTAATGTTTGCTCTTGGAGTTACTGCCATTCCTTTTTTTAAGTGGGTGAACTGCTCTTTTGAGTGTTGCATTTCAAAGTCATTTTTGATATATTGTCAGCCTGGATGCATATTCTGTATGGTGCCCTACTCAGGGACAGACTGCTCAGAATCATGGCTAGAAACGTTCATAAGTAGAGGGAAGAGGAAACATGAATCATACTTACATTAAAGCCAATGTTTTTATTTTATTTTTAGCTTTGGATACTTATATTTGAATACCAGTTGATTTACTAGAGACTTATGTCAAACTCTGTAAGCACCGTTCATTTTCCTCATTTTGTCCTTTCCTTCTTTCTGTTCCATACTACTGTATGTCACTCTCCCTGATACAGAGATGTGTCCTCTCTCAAAGGGAATCTCCCAAAGATCAGCCTAATTAACTTTTTACAATATCTTTCTGCTTATGTGTTTCATTATCGCCTAAAAGGTAACATCTAAAATTAGACTAGTATGCTTCCTAAACCAGATGTATACTGCCTCTTTTCTCCCAGTGCTAGAGCATTCTCTGTACATTGTGTTAATTATTCCTAGTCCTCTCCAGAGTTTTATGTCTGCTGTCCTTTAGTCTAAAATCAGTAAAGAACTGGAGCAGACATAAAGAAAAATAATGTAACAGTTGAAGGTAACATTTTTGAGGACTTGTTAGGTTTTAAATTGGTTACCTAGACAAGAGGAGGTAGGGACTGAATTTTTGTCTTAAAAATGTGGTGGGTTTCTGAGAATGAGTTTAGAATAACTTCTATGAGTAGGTAACATGGAAGAAAGGGACCTGAGGTGGTTATTTCAGTGTTTTGAAGTAAAGGTACCTCAGGAACTGCATGGGACAAAGTTGTGTCAGAGGGAGGCTAACTGTGGATTCTCTTGTACCCTTCCAACCAGAAGAGGTCTTTTTTTTTTTTTTTAAGATTTTATTTATTTATTTGAGAGAGTGCGTGAGTGGGGGGAGGAGCATAAGGCAAGGGACAAGCAGACTCCGAGCTGAGCACAGAGCCTGATGCAGGGCTCTATCCCACGACCCTGAGATCATGACCCAAGCTGAAATCAAGAGTCAGACCCTCAACCAACTAAGCCACCCAGGCACCCCAGAATAGGTCATCATTTATTGTTGTTGTTGTTGTTACGTTGGTCGCATTTCCATAGTTCTCTGTCCCTGAGTCACTCTTCATACTATAGTGTGCTTGTTTACATATCTTTATTTCCTGTTAAATTTTAAGCACTAAATGGGGACCTACACAGGTGCTCAAAACTTTTTGTTGATTAAAATAATGTGTTTTAGGGCGCCTGGGTGGCTCAGTTGGTTAAGCGACTGCCTTCAGCTCAGGTCATGATCCTGGAGTCCCGGGATCGAGTCCCACATCGGGCTCCCTGCTCAGCAGGGAGTCTGCTTCTCCCTCTGACCCTCTTCCCTCTCGTGCTCTTTATCCCTCATTCTCTCTCTCTCAAATAAAAAAATAAATAAATATATTTAAAATAATGTGTTTTAGGTAAGTCAATGCAAAATTAGCTCCTACTTTTGATGCAGGACAATAGAAAGAGCTGTCATGTGCCTTGCTTGACTGGGAATTTATCACAAGTGCATGTGCACACATTTCTAGCTCAAATATCATTAAATAGATATCATTAAACAGTATGTTTTCTGCTCCCTTCCTGTTCATCTTGTGATATATTAAGGATTTCCAGTTTTCTTCCCTTTTCCTTCAAACAGTTGCAGAAAATTCATTTTAAAATGTTTAAACCATAGGCCAGGAAGTTCAGGAGGTGTGTGTGTGGGGGGGTAATACCATTAAGTATGTTTCACCTTTTAGTGTCTGAAATGACATTCTTTTCTTACACAGGTATCTAGAGTCTATCTTTCCAGGCAGCAAGTCCCCTCCTGATGTTTGTGCTTATTGGCCGAGTGTAAGATGGGAGAGCATTCTTTTTTTTTTTTTTTTTTAAAGATTTTATTTATTTATTTATTCATGAGAGACAGAGAGAGAGAGAGAGAGAGGCAGAGGGAGAAGCAGGCTCCCAAGGAGCAGGGAGCCCGATGCGGGACTCGATCCCAGAACCCCGGGATCATGACCTGAGCCGAAGGCAGACGCTTAACCATCTGAGCCACCCAGGCGCCCGGGAGAGCATTCTAAACGGTTCCTCCACCCTGTTGTCAGGGTCCAGTGGTATGATCATCCCACTGCCTTTGAGTAGCCTGCCCAGCTCACAAACTGTATCTGAGAGAAGTCATTCTTGAATGCTTAGCTTGAAACTCAGTGACTAATTTATACTTTAGGAATTAACAGGTATGGGATATAGAACCCATCTTTGGGGCCCCCCCAAAAAAGTTTTATTTCATAATTCCACGAGGTCAACTGTTTTACCCATTTATGCCTCTGCACAAAACCAGCCATCCTGTGTCCAAAAGTCCTCTTCCATGTTACTTCACAAGTTACGAGGAGATGGGGAATTTGTCCGTGTTGGCTGATTTTTTTTTTTTTTTTAAGAAAACATTTTAAACATAGAATTAAGACTTTGCAGATACAGGTGAATTCCACTTTATATCCTTTCTTGATTCCATTTGATTTCCTTCCATCTCGCTACCTCCTAGAGGTAGCACTTCTTCCAATTGATGTGTATCCTTTCTGTCCACCTTTCAATATGCTTTCCACAATGTATGTGTCCATAGAATATTGTGTTGTGTATTTTTAAACTTATGGAAGTGGTTCCATATAGTATGTATCCTTTTACCACTTTTTTTTTTGTAGAGACTGACACACGTTGATACAGGGAAGTCTGGTAGTTCATTGGAGTGCAGTGGTGTAGTATTGCAGGATGTGATTGTGTCATGTGTCATAGGTTGTCGGGTTCCCATGTCTGAAGATGCATGTGTACCGGATTTCCTGATATGCTTGAAAAGACCAAAAGTGAAAAATAAACTATATATTTGAAAGTCATATTGATTGTTCTGCTGTGATTTGAAGGAGTGAGGCCAGACATGTTTCCAGCTTACTGAAATTTTATTTATCTCTACGCCGTAGCAGATAAAAACTGCTGAAGATACCCACTTCTGAAACAAACAACAACAGATTTATTATTGTCACAAGGCATGCCTCAGTAGATTACCCTATATAGCAATCACTGGTTTGCCACTCGATAGCTGTGTGCTTTTGGAGCAAGATGCTTAGTGCCTGTGTCCTCTGTTTATGTATCTGTAGAAGAACAACAGTTCAGTGACCAAGCCTTTAGGCAGGTGCCTGGGCATCAAGGTCAGTTAAACACTGATTGATTATTGAAGGAACATTGCTGGGTAGAGGTGAGCTGAGGGAGATTCTCCTGGGTCGTGTCATGCCTGTTTAAGTGTTTTAATTTCTTTAGACTAGCACCTACAGGTTTGAGATTTAGTGTTTTTTACTATTATTCTCTTTTCCTAATCTCTGCAAAATATAAGCACTGGATATTTTCATTAAAATGATCGCCTTGTCTGAGGATACTTGTTTTGGGAGGGCTGGAGCACTCTGCCTTGCCCCATAGACCTGCCTGGGGAGGGTCTGCAAACAGAGTAATTTCTGTGCACTCTGTGTAGTTTAAAGCAACTACCCCGAGTTGCACATATATATGTGAATACTGGGTTCTTAGTTTTTATTTTTACACACAAAACCGTGACTGACCGTCAGTCTACCTGTTTCCCACCACCAGTGGCATCATCTGTTACAGCTGCCAGCCACACTCTGCTGAGCTGATGTGGCTGACTGGCGGCTGGTGCCCAGAACTACGGGGCGCGGCATTTTTGCCTCACTCGTTTTCTTTTCTCCTGTAGGAAATAAGTACCTGTCGTTCAGTCCCTTTCTCTTCCCCCTCAGTTTTCATCATTCAGTCATCCTTACATCAAGGAGTCTATTATAGACTCACATTAATGCCTTCTCCCTTCTCTTTTTTTGAGCTCTTATCTAATTACCCTGGGAAAGCGTCCTCTTCTTTCCTTCATTCGACAGATAGTGACTGAAATCCTTACCTACCTCCGCTTCCTTCGTTCTGTATGTGAGTCCGAAAACAGCTCTAATCATGGCCGAACATAATAGACTGAGTAACATAGAAGCCTCTCCATTTCCAGATAAGAGTTTCTGAAAGGCTGTTCGCCAGTTCCTGAGTGAGCAAGTCCACTGCTACTAAGATAGGCTCCCTTTTGCAGGCCAGGGATGCATTTCTCTGAAATAAGAGGGTAGACCAGGTTCTTTAAAACCAAGCAAACCAATCATTTATTCCAGAATGGACCAACTTCCTCTACATTGGGAACTTTTAGAGATGAATTGAACTTCCCGCCTTGACAAAATGTATAAGGAACTCTTTAATATAATGTTTAACCCCTGCCTCTCTGTCCACTTTTTGGGGCACATTTGAACTGGCTTTGAATCATCCTTAGCCACAAAAGAAGTTTAATCACACTTCACAACTGCCTCATAACTTTGTTGTAAAGATTAAGAAAGCAATATATGTAAGCTTTCTGGCACACAGTAAATAATGATAGAAGTTGTGACTCATACCACTAGAGTATTAGCTCTGTGTAGCAAACATTTGTGTTCATTGCTGTATTTGGCACATAGTAGATAATAAATAATGAAAGGATAGACGGATGCTCCTTATTGTTACATATGACAGAACTTGTAGAATTCTACCTAAAAACAATAAAAATAAGAAAGCCAAGTCTCCATACAGAAAGGGTTGTTCTAAATTGCCAGGTAAGTGTATCAGTCTCAAGCAGGTCTATTAAGTGTGAAAAGCACAAGTACTGTCAACCTACTTACCAAACTTCTCCATGTTTTCCCCACTCCAGTGTTCCTCTTGGTCACCCAGTTCTGTTCCTTCTGAATCTTGCCCTCCCCCAGCTGTATACCCCTTTCTCATGTCTTCTTTCTCTGCCCCTGGACTCTAACTATAGGTCTTTTTTCAGGGGCGCCTGGGTGGTTCAGTCGTTAAGCGTCTGCCTGAGGTTCAGGTGATGGTCCCAGGGTCCTGGGATCGAGCCCTGCATCGGGCTCCCTGCTCGGCGGGAAGCCTGCTTCTCCCTCTCCCACTCCCCCTGCTTGTGTTCCCTCTCTTGCTGTGTCTCTCTGTGTCAAATAAATAAATAAAATGGTAAAAAAAACCCAAAACTATAGGTCTTTTTTTGAATGGTATCTTTATATTGGTCTCTCTACCCAATTTTCTCTCCTCTTGACTTTCTCCCATAACCATATGGCAGAGATTTTTAAAAATAAACATGTATAGAGTTACAGATATATTTAATTTTTTTGGTTTTGTTCATAATCCTAAAAATAATTAAGTAGGGCTTTTTTTTTTTAACCTCCTAGAGTTACTTTACCTTTGCAAGGCATGATTATATTTCCTCTGTGATGCTTTAATAGAAAGGGGGGAAGCTTTTCACTCCTGTTCTAGGCTCCCAGCTTGTGAAGCGTTTTTTTTGTTTGTTTTTTAGATTTTATTTTTTTTTTTAAGATTTATTTATTTATTTATTTGAGACAGAATGAGAGAGAGAGCACATGAGAGGGGGGAGGGTCAGAGGGAGAAGCAGACTCCCTGCCGAGCAGGGAGCCCGATGCGGGACTCGATCCAGGGACTCCAGGATCATGACCTGAGCCGAAGGCAGTTGCTTAACCAACTGAGCCACCCAGGCGCCCTAGATTTTATTTATTTGACATAGAGAGAGAGAGGGAACAAGTAGGCAGAGAGGCAGGCAGAGGGAGGAGAGGGAGAAGCAGCCTCCCCCGCTGAGCAGGGAGCCTGATGCAGGACTCAATCCCAGGACCCTGGGATCATGACCTGAGCCGAAGGCAGACGCTTAACCGACTGAGCCACCCAGGTGCCCCTGAAGCGTTTTAAAATATATCTTAAATTCCTTCCTCCAGCAGTTTTGCAGGAGATATTTCTCCAGATATTTTGAAATATCTTTCAACCATCTTCTTTATTACTGGCTACTTCTGCTTTTCACTGAATTACAATAGTTCATTTCTTTAATTGCTTCCATGTTCATCTGAGATCCTCTCAAAGAGTTGCATGATTTTTCAACCACCTAAATGCAAAGAGCCTCTTCTTGGGAATTGTCCTTATCATTGTAAAGTTGTTTTAATGGCATAGTTCTCTGTACCATTCTCATTATTAAAACTATTGTCTAGCATATATAATATATCTTTTTAAGTCACTTATTAGAAGTGCATGGGATTATTAAAAATGCATGGTACTTAGATTTTGTTAAAGTAAAAAGAGGGTCTACTCCCCAGATTACATGGCACTAGAAGCCAAAATAAATTGTCATTGACGGGGGCGCCTGGGTGGCTCAGTTGGTGAAGCATCTGCCTTTGGCTCAGGTCATGATCCCAGGGTCCTGGGATCAAGCCCTGCATCAGACTTCCTTTTCAGCGAGGAGCATGCTTCTCTCTCCCTCCGCTGCTCCCCCTGCTTGTGCTCTCTCTCTCTCTGTCAAATAAATAAATAAAATATATTTTTTAAAAATTGTCATTGACAAATACTATATAATCCCAGGCCTTCAAATTCCAGGTGGGGTCGGTTTCCTTCTGTGTTCTTTGTCAGTGTGTTCCTTGTCACACCGCTGCCCTTTACTGACCTTCCCTTCCCATCAGCTCTTCCCTGCCTAAAAATTTATTCAAATGAAAAGGCTGTATCACCCTTTGGGTTTTTCCTTTTTGAAACTGTAAATAGGGGTGCGTGGCTGACTCAATTGGTAGAGCATTCAGTGGTTGTAAGTTCGAGCTCCACGTTGGGTATAGAGATTACTTAAAAATAATCTTTAAAAATCAGTAAATCACTGTCAATAAACAACTGTAGAAACCTCTTTGTTTCATTGTAGAAAATTAAGGGTAAAAAAGACTTTACGTGTTATTTCAATGGTTTTTTATTTTTATTTTTATTTTTTTTAAAGATTTTATTTATCTGACAGAGAGAGAGAGAGAAGGAACACAAGCGGGGCGAGTGGGAGAGGGAGAAGCAGGCTTCCTGCCGAGCGGCGAGCCCGATGTGGGACTCGATCCCAGGACCCTGGGGTCATGACCTGAGCCGAAGTCAGACGCTTAACGACTGAGCCACCCAGGCACCCCTATTTCAATGGTTTTTTAAACTTATTTTCTGTTCCCACTAGAGGGCATTCTTTCCTTTGATTTTTAGTTCATAGCTTTTGTGTATTTATTTTACAGAACTGTTAAATAACAAGGTAGTTGTTGAGGATATGAATGTACTCAGATAGCCCTCTTACAGATAGGGGTTGTCAGATACACACATTCTCTTCATTTAAGTTTCACCGGTGCCAGTACCAAAATTGAGGTAAAACTATATTTCCTCGCATTTTTATCTTGTAGCTTGGTCGGATGGGATCACAAATACCCACCATAACTTTATGATGTAATTTGTGCAGTTACCATTTTATAAACCAATGCTTATCCAAATTTATTTATGACACACTATGGCTAACACTAGATTATTCAAAGATGAATTGCCTATTTTATTATTTGGTTAACTCCATTTTTGTAGGATGTATTTAGTAGAGGGTAAATGAACCTAAACATTGTTTTTAATCCAGTAGATCTCAGTGCTGACACCCAGTGGTCCTCCAGCCTTGTCTCACAAGGCAGTATTTTCTTTGACAATATTTGAACTCTTGTTTCTGTTGTGACATCATACTTTTCTATAGGAACTTTAATTCTTAACATCTAATCATAAGTAGCTCTGTTCTTTCTATCAAGGAATTGCTAATTTTACATATGCCATATATATGTTCTGTTTCAGATTTTCCTGAGCC